CGCTCTTCCCTTCCCGGCGTGCCGAAGGGGCAGCGAAGGCAGGGAGGGGAGAAAAAGAAGAAGAATTCTGGCACTGAGCTGGTTTCTGGCATTTGGATTTTTTTAGTTTGTAGGAAACAATCTGCTGCCTCTCAAAATATTGTTAATTGCCACTGGGGAGCCTGCCCGCTTCCCATCTGAAGGCGTACGCTTCGTACTCCGGTGGCACTCCAGACATCCTGCCGCCTCGCGGTTTGCAAAACGGCGCCTGGAGAGGTCTTTTCCCTCACCCCGCACGCGTCTGTCCCTCTGTTGCTGCAGTTGGTGAGAACGTAGTCACGCGTTCCCCTGCTAAATTCAGATTTTTCTGGCTCTCATGCCCTGCGGGGATGCTTGAACACATTGCCTTGCCGCTTGCCAGATCCCAACTGGCTCTCCAGAACAAGTGCCCTCGGGTTAAAGCGACTTCTTACCCTGTTGAATTTGCCCTCGGCGCCGAAGCAGCCGCATTTGAATTCCGTATTTACGCCCGTCTCCACCCTTCTCCTCCAGAAACCAGCGTCTTGCAGGACGGCCGCGGTGCCTGCAGAAGACGAGAGGGAGGAACCGCTTCTAGCGGGACATCACGATCTCCCAGCTGAACTCCAAGACCAGGGGATGGCCCGGCAAAATGACGACTTCTACATCAAAATCGAATTTGGAAAGGTAAGAACCTCCTACGGGGCTGAGCCGAGCCGGTCCTAGAGGTTCGGATTGTTGGGATTTGGGTTTATTTTGGCGGAGTCGGTTGGGCTGCTGTTGGAGTCAGAGCGGTTGCTCCCTCCGGCCTTGTTAACTCTTAAACCTACTGTGGTCAAAACAGGTTGGAGAGCGGTGTCGGAGCTAAACGACGTTGGCTGCTTCTCTTTGACTGCTTTCAGCTTACAGCTGTGGCTCCAAAAGGGTTTTTTTTTATTTGCGGCGGCCTCGTGATGCCAGTTGGCTGGCGCTCGGCGGAAATCTGAAACTGAGCGTGCAATTGCATCATACACTTAACCGAACGCTAAACCGCGGCCGGCGGGACCCGCAGCTGCCTCTGCTCCGGCCACCCGGCTCCGAAAGTTGAAAAAGCTGCGA